TTTGCAAGTTGACCCCAGATTCCGTAACTATCACACTCGGTTACCCTGTGTAGAGTTCCCAAGCCCGTGAATCTTTATGGGAGTAGAAAGCATCCACTTTCTCCCACAGAGCTGGCGGTAAGTTTGAACCACCAACCTTGTGGGTAGCCGCCCCAGCGCTCACCTGACAGTGCCACCAGAGCTCCTTCGCCTCTAAGAGGGTTCTAGAAATGAGATCACTGGTCACAACGTGGCAGGTCTCCCACTCTCTCTGTCCTACTTCTCCCTTCCAGATGTTGCCCCACTTCTCTCTCCTTTGATAGTAAAACTCCTCAAAAACCAGAGTCTAATTCCATGACTCCCACTCTTCTCCTCCGTTCCGCCCCACACATGGTCGGCAGGTATCGGTCCCCTTCATGGCCTCTGCCAGCAATCGGTTCTCCGGCCACACCACCCTGCCCCCGCGCTCCCCTCCGGGTGTGACACGGTTGGTCACTGCATGGGAGACGCCTTCTTCCCTCGGGGGCTGGGACGTCACGCTGTCTGCGGGGTCTTTTTCTGCGTCGCCCGCTCGTCCTTTCAGCCTCGTGCAGTGCCACTCCTCATCTCCCAGAGCTTGTTCCTCCCAAAGCGCATCGGGCACGGCCTGCTCCCACCAGAAGTCATTTGGTGACTCTCCTTTATGAGCCCCAACTTCTGCCAGGAGTCCCGCGCCCCCAGCTGCCTGCAGCTGCCACCCCTTCTTGCATGTAAATGAGGTTATCCTCCATCTGCAGCCCCTCCAAGTATGCTTTCTCAACACATCTTCAGGAGACCCCTAGGAACTATGTTTCTGTTTGCAGATGAGGAATCTGAGGGTCAGGCTTTCCTCCCCTTGCCCACAGCCACATGGCTCCTCTCAGTGCGCTGTGATGGTTTCTGCTTCCAGTGCCTCTGGTCTTTCGGCTCCCAGCCACTGCCCAATCTGCTTCCTTACACCCAGTGCCCCTGAGTGAGGCGGGCACGTCTGCTTTCTCTCATGGGATTCCAGTCGGTCCATCTGGACTTCCCCTTGAAAGTACAGTGGTGTACTCTTCACCCCCGGCGCCTGGTAGTCACGTTTGTGGACAATGGGTGCTCTTACTGGTTGAAACGCAAAGACTCCCCAAATGAAAGAGCAGCTGCAGAGTGGGAGAAGAACAAGGGCTGAATGATTTGATCGACATCTGTGGGGGCCTCCTGGCATTTAGAGTGTGAGTGCCCTAGAGAAACTAGCTATTCTGGCCTGAGGGAGTTGGCTGCTGTTAATCCTGGTGGCTTTGACCGCCAACTGCCCCAGAGGTCCCAGGCTGCTGCATGACTCAGAATCCTTAACACTCCCCCTATTCATCCCTCTTGGGACTCCCCAGGAGCCCATTTCTAAGGCATTTTAATTCGGTAATGACTTCTCCTGCCTGTGCCTTTCCTGCTGGGTTCTGGCGTCCCTGTGGCCCCACTTGTCCATTGCTCCCCCTTCTCTGTTATAGACTACCTGAGCCCCTGGGCCCTGGACTGGCCCTGTTCTTGAAGCATCTTGCCAAAAGTTGATAGTATGAACTAGAGAGAGGAATGATGTAGCCCAAGGTCTGCCTGTTATTGGGCATTCATTTCTGCCATTCATGGGATTAAGAAGGGCGGCTGTCATATGTCCTTAATTTTGTGTGTGTGAAACTTTCTGGAATCCAGAAAGACCACAGGAACTCATAGTTCAAGATGGACAAGCAGATAGTCGGCGTTTGAGAGACAAAGCTGTTATTGTGTGCCATCAAGTGGATTCTGCCTCCTAGTGCCCCTCTAGGACAGAGTACAAAGCGTACCCCAAAAACCCAGAAAAAGGCTCCCGCTGGGTGGAGTTTTCAGAATATGCATTTTCCCTCTAGGCAAGCATCAAGCAACTTGCTCTGAGTTAGCGCACCCAGTGGTGTCACCTGGGAAGGTTCTCTGGTCACGGTGAATTTTTTCGTGAAAGCAGTTTCTCTTGAATCTCATTTTTTTGGTGAAGACCAATTTAAGAGAACAGCGTGTGGCTGTGAAATTTTGTTTCCTGCTCAGGAAAAATGCCACAGAAACTGTAGAGCACAGCTGACAAGGGCAGTCCTGTGGGTAAAACTTGAGTGTACGCGTGGTTCTGTTTCAAAAACGGTGAAATGTTGATTGATGACAACCCTCGTTCTGGACGTGGGTCAGCTTCCCGAACATGAAGATGTCGACTGGACTCGCAGTGCATTTGGAGTTTGTTCTACCCGGTTAGACGGTTAACCAAGATTTCTACTTAGAGGTTCTAAAAAGATTGTGTGACAGTATGCTACCCAAAAAAGCCTCATTTGTGGCAGATGGGACTGGTTTTGCCACCACAACAATGCACCTGCTCATGCAGCCATCTTCTGTGCCACTTTTTGGCAAAAAAACAGCATGTCTCCTACCCCACACACCTTACTCACCTGACCTCTCTCCGTGTGACTTCTTTTTGTTTCCACAAATGAAGAGGGACATGAAAGGACAGCAATTTGACAACCATAGAGGAGGTGAATAAAAAAAACGAGGGAAGTAGACCTAGATGAAGGATATATTGAGAAACAGTAGCTTCACACTTTGATATTTTGGCTGAATAGAGGTTTCTGATTTTGAAACAATGTATTTTTTACTTACTCTCAAAAAAACAAACAAACAAACCACACACATACACGAGAGGAGTGCTGTCAGCCATACAATGCAGATGAGTTTGAAAACTTTCTATGAATAGAATGGGGGGGGGTGGAATTGCAGATTTGACAGATGTATTGAGTGTATTCATGGAGAGTACTTTGAAGGTGACAAGGTTGTTTTGTAACAAAATGTTAAATACATAGCTTTGAAAAAACATTACGCGTTTTTTTTTTTGGGGGGGGGTAGGTAGGTAGCCCCTCGTCTATCTGCTGGTGGAGCTTCCTAGGCTGGAGTCTCTGTGGGAGCAGATCACGTGTCTGTGCTCCTGCCCCTGCTGGGTAGGTTAAAACTGCCAACCTTTCAGTCAGGGGCCTAGCCCTTAGTCATTGTCCCGCTAGACCTCCTTCCAAAGAATTAAACTCCAAACTAAACTCACTGCCATCTGGTCTGCCGGCTCCACAGCAGACTGGACTGCTCCTGCCCGACTCTCGGGCGGGAGGGGCTCTTCATGGGAGGAGACAGCCTCCTCCCTCGCCCACAGAGCAGTTGGGCTGTCCTGGATGTTAAGGTGTGTGTGTGTGTGTGTGTGTGTGTGTGTGTGTGTTGAATTTCTAAAATACAGTTGTTTCCCTCAGAAGATATTTTTATTCTCTGTTAAAACCTTTGACTCTTTTGCTTAGCAAATACAGTCCCAGCCCCTTGACATGTCACTACGCATTTGCATCCGTATTTGCATTTCAGGCTTTTATTTCATTGGTAGGAACGGCTTTAAAGATCAGATTTCTAGAAGAAATTACACCTGGGTATAGATGAGTTTGCCTGAATTCAATGGGCAATTAGTCTGTACTGTGCAATTACTCACAGGGGCACAGGGATAAGTTAGACAAGACACACAATATTGTCATTTCTGGCTACCCAATACAGACATACCTCCCCCTCCCCTCACCCCACCCCTTGCACAAGTCAGCCTTGAGAGAGGACTTGCAGAAAGACCCCAGCACAATGGAACAGCTGAGCGTCCCAGATTGGCAGCAGGCCCAAGGATGGGGATGGGGAGTTTGGGGCTTGGAACTGGCAGCCGTCCAGGGCTCAGGGTCTCCGGGGCAACTTAGCCCACTGTGTCCTGAGCTGCACTTGGGGTTTTCTGTAGACAGTACAGGCCAGAGACTTTAGGGAAAGGTCAGTGACCCCAACCCCACAAGGAACACATAAGACATGGAAACCCAGAGACGTGCGATGACCAGGCTGTAGTCACAAAGCACCAATACTGCATGGTCTTTGTGCAGTATTCAGCGGTCTCCGCTCCATGGGTCTCCTGAGGTTGCCCTGGCTTCGCGTCCGGTCAGGGTGTTCCTTCCCAAAATAAGAGCTCATCTACAATCTACTGGGGCAATGGGGGAGAGGGGCGGCGGGGTGGGGGGTGGGGGCCACGACAAGAGGAGCTGATCCCAAGGGCTCAATGGAAAGTAAATGTCTAGAAAAGAAGGATGCAATAGATGTACTAATATGTCGGATACAGTTGATGTGTGGATTGTAACACGAGTTGTGAGAGCCCCCGATAAAATGATCTTTTTAAAAAGAAGACAAAAGCAAGTCAGAGCCAGCCTCTGGGGGAGGTGTCCATACTGAGTTCAATCAGACCAGCTCCACCCCAGCAGCCTTCGGTACAACAGGTGACGGACCACAGACAGTGACAGGACAGTGGGGATGTGCTGACGGGGGAGCGCGTGTGAGGCTGGGGAGGGGAGGGACTGGGAGTCCAGAGGAGGCACTTGTCCCAGAGGAGGTCACGGAGGAAAATGCCAGTGCAGTTGACATCTGAGCTTAGTTTGAAAGACCAATAGGCATTAGCCAAGTGGAGGACAAGGAAGAACATCCCAAGCAGAGACACAGTAGACCAGAACTCCCTCAGCCCGTGTCTGATGGCCTTGTCCATAGCCCTAGTCATGCACTGATATGGTTGGGTGTGCAGGGACCTCCCAGGAAGGTTGGAAGGACGGCACCCAGGTAAAGACCAGACCGGAGCCCCTCTTTCCTGCAGGCCTGCATGTTCCACCTTCCCATTTGGGAGCCTGGACGGAGTTTCTGATTTCCTTGACTTCAGGCTTGCTGCAAATAGCCGATGTGGAACCCAGTGCGTTCCTTTTACCAAGCTCTGCTTCAGAGCCGTGGCGGCTTATCCACCTATTCTCACAGGGTTTATTCTTCAAACTTTGGTGTGGAAAAGAGCCTGAAGTAGTGGTGATTGGGGCGAGCCGATTTGGGATTTAAGCATCTACAGCTCTTCCTGAATTAACAGCCCACTGAGCTGCACGTCCAGTGTCTTGCACGCGCTGACTGTCTGTCTCTTCCCATAGGCCTGCTGAGTTAGCTACCAAGTACGCCAACTTCTCGGAGGGAGCTTGTAAGCCTGGCTACGCTTCCGCCCTGATGACCGCCATCTTCCCCCGGTAAGTGTGCTGCGTCTGCTGCTGCCCAGACCGCCCGGTCTGTGGCCCCTGCGCCAGAAACCCTGCCCTCGGGGAGAGCGATGTTCTCCCGAGAAAACAGATTCCGTGTGACTGCCTTCCAGCCTCCTCCAGCTGGAAAGGCCTGTGATTAGAGCTGTTCCCATCTGGGGGCCACTCTGTCGCTACTGCACCCACCCCTCAGTCCTCACACTCTGGGGTTGTCAACCTTCCTAATGCCGCGACCCTGTCATAAGGTTCCTCAGGTTGTGGTGACCCGTGTGTGGGCGTGTCTGCATGTGGGCGGACCTGCTTGGAGACGGATAGAGGAGCGGTGTCTCAGTTCCTAAGACCATCGGAAATACGGTCATAGGCGACCCCTGTGAAAGGGTCATTTGACCCCCAGGTTGAGAACTGCTGCCTTAGAGTGTGCACCTGCCAGCTTGTTTCTGTGGAGGGGAGGGAGGAGGGAGAATCCAGGTGGTGGGTCCATGGGCACCAGGTATCTCGAAGCAGCCGGACAAGGCCGCCCCACACAGAACTTATAAGTCAGAGCATCTGGGGCCAAGCAAACTTTTTTTGAAAGCTGGGGAGCAACTAGCCGACTTTGAGGAGGACCAGCCAAATACAGCAAGGAGCAAAGGATTTCCCGAGGCTGTCTGAGCTTAAGCACCGCTCCTTTCGCCCATTTTGCACCCTGAAGGCCCATGTTTGGGAGTGCCCGGAGGAAACAGCTCAGGGACCCTGTGAGTTGGATGTAGCACTTGGGACACCGGAGGAACGGGGAGCCACCTGAGCGTGGCCACTAGGCTTGGGCTTTGCCCATTGGGTGGAAGACTCACCTCTTCCCTGAGCGGCTAAAGTTAGGGCTCATCAAGTGCTGAGACGGGATTGCTGAGAATCGGCTTGCCCAAGTCAGCCCAGGGCACTCATTTTTTACACACTCCTTTTCGTTTCCAAACTTGAATGAGCCAGGCTCTGCTCCTTTTGTAGAAGCAGCGATTCGTGAATTGAGTGGCTGATGTTCCCATAGAGGTTTCTTTGTGTAGGATCTGCGTTCTGAATTGACTCCAGGTAGTTTGCTTCCTCGGGCTATTTGCCGAGCACCTTTAAAGTGTCTGGCACTGCCTCCTCTGTTCTTACACATGTTTTCTCAGGCCTACACAACTCGGTCCCGGGGAACTTTCCTTCACCTGTATATAGGTTTCTTTGTCGCCCCCGCCCCGCCCCCCCTAATCGAGACTTAATATAAGCATATAGTTTTAAAACAAGCCAACACACTCAAAAAGTCCAGATCCCTTCCCTGTAGCCAGCCAGCCAATATTACTATCACCATAAATGGGGAAAAATAAACCCACTGCCATTGAGTCAAGGCTGACCCCTGGTGACCCCTGTGGGCTTCTGAGACTAACTGTCTACGGAGCGTAGAAAGCCCAGTCTGTCTCCCGTGGAGCTGCTGGTGGTTTTGAACTACCGACCATGCAGGTCGCAGTCCAATGCATAACCACTACACCACCGGGGCTTCTCATAGAGGGGAACGTACTGTGTTTATTACCTGTCCTTTTTTGGTTGGCGTTATATTAATTTAAACAGTGTCTGGCATACTTTGAGATAGGATATGGTTTTTCTTGGTGAACATTCTGCTTGCACCTTAAAAGAAAGTATTTTTGCTGTTACTGGGTGCCCCACAAATGTCGTGTTAGGTCGGCTGTCGGGGTCTGTGAAGGCTCCCCTTACCAATACAGATGTGGAATCCACTTAGCTGTCAATTACTGCGAGAGGGCCGTTGAAATCTCTACCAGTGCTTGTTCATGGGTCGAAGCTCTGTTACTTGGAGCGTGTACATTGGAATTGTTATAGTCCCTCGCTGACTGCATTCACTCCTGGTGATAAAATGCCCCTCTTCACGCCCGGAAATCATTTTGAAATCTCCCTTGTCTGGTATTCATATAGCCCGTCCAACTTTCTGTTGCTCCCCGCTCCCTCTCCCCCCCACCCTTTTTTCTGTCTCTTTGGATTGATTGCTTTTTTGAGTTAATTTTACCTCTACGATTGGCACAACACAGTTGAAAGATGAGGCTGCCTGCTCCAGAAAGAATTCCAGTCGTAGACACCCCATCTAGGGCCCAGGAGACAGAAGGACTCAAGGGCAGTGGCTTGTTGGTGTGATTATTAATAACTGTGTTCTATTTATCTCAGGGTTCACAATATGTGAAAAGGTATCCAAAAGTCTGTGGACTTGGTTTTTCTGCAAACCGTTTACAATCTGTTTCAAATACTATTAATGGCATATCACACCGAGTATAAGAACTTAACAGCAGTATACTTCAATTCCCCTTCCGTTCTTTGTACTACTTTTGTCAAATATTTCACATCGGCATGTTTTATAAGTCCACCCAACATTATTTTGATTTCTTTTTAAACCAGTGGTTCCCAACCTCCCTAATGCCATGACACTTTAATACAGTTCCTCATGATGTGGTGACCCTAACCCCCCCAACCATAAAATTATTTTCGTTGCTATTCATCACTGTCATTTTGCTACTGTTATGAATCAGGCGACCCCTGTGAAAGGGTCATTCCACCCCAGAAGGGGTCGCAACCCACAGGTTGAGAACCTGAGAACCGCTGTTTTAAGCTGTCAAGTGTGAGTTAAGGTGATTTGAGAGTAAAGGGGAAGTCTGTTGTTTACCCATGACTGTCTCTTTCTGTTTATTTTGTTTCCGGGGTTGCTTTTGTTTGTTGTTTTGTTTTTTTGGTGGGGGGTTGTTTGGTTTGGATTTTTGCTAGACCTTTTTAGCATTGTCACTTATGCAGGCTGTGAAGTTTCTCGGCTTTGGTTTGACAAAACAACTGATTTTTCCTTCGGCTTTGAAAGTCTTGTTTTTGTATGTCGGGTGTGGGGGGGTGAACAAAATTCTAGGTGGGTAGGCCCCTCTTGCCCCAGCACTTTAAAGATGCACCTCTGTTTTTATTCGTGCTTTTGGCTGACAGAGTTTCTGGCGGGAAGTGGTCTCTCATTCGGCTCTGTGTTCGTCAGCATGTACCGGTCCGCTTTCCGCCAGCTGCCTTTGGGAGGTTCTCATCACCCCAGGGGTCAGGAGCTGCCCTAGGTGCATCCTTTTTGTCGTTTTCTTCATATGTATTGAGCTCAGTGAGCCACCTGCCCCTTTGTCATTTTAATCACATTTTGAACTTTTTTTTCTTATTTCTTCGAATATTTTTCTACCCAACCCCTTCCCCCATTTCCAAGCACCTGTTTGTCATGCCGCTGTCCCCAGCCACTGGCGCCGAGGCTGAGTTCTTGTCATTGCGTGTCCGCTGACCTTTGCCCTTGTGGAGTGGGCGCTGTAACCCCCGGGCGTTCCAGTGCAGACCTGTGTCTCCATCTCCTGCGCCCCCTTGGGGCCTCTTAGATCTTCCTGTCGTTCCTTAATTGTGTCCACGTTATCGTCTACTTCAACTCAGAACACATCTCTGAGGGTTGTTTTAACATTCTGGTCTGATCATTTTATCATAATTTCTGATACGGTTTCTCATGATTCTACACACACACACACACACACACACACACACCCCGTTATTTATGGTTAATGTTTTCCTGATTCTTTGCGTTACACGTAATTTATTCATTTCATTGCAGGCTATGTGAAGTTCACGTTGCTGTGTGATCGATTTTGTCGGATTCATTTAAAAAGCGCTCGACTTGTCTGGCTTGTAGTTCACTGTCTCTGAAGCAGTCGTATCCCTTTGAGGCTTGGGTTCAACCTTGTCCGGACAGGTCTTAAGTAGCCTTTTGTCCAAGGCTAATTTATGCCCACTGCAAACGATACCAGGACTCCACCAGTGCCCCATGTGTTGTTGTGCGGTCTTTGCACGCTGGCTGGTTCGGGGAACACAAGCAATTTCCAGTCCTATGTGAACACCAAGACTTGTTTGCTCTGTTCTCCGGTGGTCTCCGTTTGCTCTCATGCGCGCCTAGATCGGTCCTTCACCTGTGACTTGAAGGGTCTCCTCTGCAGATCGCCAGAGCTCTCAGCCCTGCCCGCCCCCTGCCACAGTATTCTTCCTCACAAACTCCAGCCAGGTTTGGCTTCCCTGAAATGTCATCTGCCTCCTCATCTCAGAAGAGCCACTGGACACTGTTTGGGTTTCCCATCCCCGCCCTGTGGGTTGGAAACTGTCATGGATGGGCACAGTACCATGCACACCTGTCTCGGGACAAGTATAGCCAGCGTGCTCCTACGGAGGGACAGTACCGAGTCTTCGGCTCCCGTACTGGAGACAGGTTGTCAGGGGCAACCAGCCTCTGGAAAAGGAGCGGGGCGATGAAAAGAGGAGATGGATGGACACAGGGGCTGCAGCAGTGGGCTCCCAGATAACAACCCCTGTGAGGTTGGCGCAGGCCAGGGGCAGTGTTTTGTTCTGTTGAACGCAGGGGCGCTGTGCGGAGTGCCGACTCGATCGTCCAACCACAGCACGGCTATCGGTGGGGTTCGCTTTGTCTCCGTTTCCAGGTATCAGGCCAACGTCTGACTGGCACTCGTTGTTTCGTGGACTGGTTTTCTGGTTCGTCAAGGTGGAAGGTAATTCACGTCCCTGTTACTCCTCCGTCGTGGTCTGAAGCAGAAATCCCCCCGCCCCTCGTTGGTGCACAGCACTCCATTGCACCGATGCACCAACGCCGAGGAACGAGTCCCCTGGTGGTAGACATCTACCTCGTTTCCAGCCTTCACTGTTACACGTGTCACTTTAGCGAGCAGTCTTTTTTTGCGCATAATGTCCCCCAGGTGTGAAATTTTTCTAAGCTAAAATTATATTTCTACCTCAAAAGTACAGGCATTTATAATTTTGATAGATATTGGCAAATTTCCCTTTCATGGCAGTTTTTAAACCTACAGGTACACAGCTAGTGTGTGAAGGTGTCGCTCCTGTTTTCTACTCGTGTTGTTGCATTGTGATTACTCATGTCTCGTTATTCATCAGATTGGTACGATGTGTTG